AGGTATAATGCTACATGAAAAAAAATGGCTCATAGAGAAGTAAAACCAATTTGAATAGAATATTAAGCCCCTGTTTGGTCTGAATTAAAATATGATTTTAATTCAAGTCAAAGTCAAATAATAAATATTAACCACATCTTTCATGGGTCTCACAACTTTTGAATCACACATTTCAAAAACTTTTATCAAAATCTACTAAAAATCTAATTTTAATCCCTACCAAACACCCTCTAAAAATCTTAAGCAATTATAATCTAAAAAATTGCAAAAAGTGCAAGAAAATATGTGAACGAAGAAGCCAAAAACTAAAGGCCACAGGTTCCGTGCAACGAAAAGAAGAAAATAAGTTTAAAAAGTGGCTTCTTTTAAACTTTTGTTGACGGTGTGACTTTTCTTAGTGAAAATGAACTTCTTTTTCTAGTTTTTAAACTCGGATAAGCAAATAATAACATGAATTTGAACGTAAATATTTACGCGATACACTATCAAATCAGATTCTGCCATTCTTAATGCAACTCTAAAGAAGAACTAAGTAGTAATCCTCTTTCTGTGCTAGTACAAAGCTTATTAATCAAATACTTTAAACAAAGGAAAAATTGTACTACTAGTCCATAGCTTATAGATCTTTTTGCAAATTAATTTCAAACTATTTTCTTGACACACCATCTCTACTGTTTTAACTTTGTAAAATCTGGGTTTTTAGTAGACAATTTATGTACATTTGACTGCTAAGTATGCACATTTGTGTCTTACAATTTTTCTCCGGTAACTCAACTTAATGTCGTGTTTTATCCATTGGAGAATGGATTAGTCAAGCCATTAATGTATTTGACATGTAATTGACTCATGTGGATACATCAATATATAATTGAGGAATGAGTGGAGGAAATTCCTAAAGAACCCTTGTATTTGGTATTTTAAATTAGACATGGATGAGTTTTTTTAAATTGATTATGGCGTATCTCTGCATATTCTAAATAATGTAAAAATCTTTTTTATTTTTATTTTTTATCTCCATCTAAAAGCACGTTTGGGAGGTGTTTAGAAACGATATAAATTATGAGTAATTGATAAGTAGATAATACTTTTAAATTTCTCAAAATTTGTAGATAAAAAGTGACTTAAGTGCTTATATACAATTTATAAATATGAGCCAAACATAAGCTAAGCCCATGTTTGGCCCCCATTATTTGGCATTTTTTAGGGTTGAAAATTTTTGGAATAGTGATTGATGGGAGAATGTGTGGTGGAAAAGTAATGAAAAGTTTTAGATTTGTGTGTAATATTATTTTATTTGATGAATGTGTGGTTGTAATGAAGAGAAAGAAAAATTTAATGTAATGTA